TATGCAAGGTTTCCGGTTTGCAGATGACAATACATTGTAATATGTTCCATTAACTTGAACATTCAAATTCATATTACAAGTATGCAACTGAACAGGTTTCAAATTCCTTTCATATTCATAATAGAAAAAACAATACTCTGCAAGCGAAAGTCTGAAAATGATTTAACAAAGAAGAATCAGAGAATCGAGAACTGCAAAATCTGTGCTATTAGGTAGTCTCTTTCCCTAATGTCAATATTATGTCTGGTTGTATACTTAGCGAAAAAGATAAGAAAACATTCAATATTTTTCAGTTCATGGAAAGAAAAGTAAGCAGTCTTTGTATCATCCTCAGACACGTAAACAAATACATCATAAACACTGGTTTCAGTTCACCCTGTAACATGGGATGTGGCAGGGTGGTGTGGTCTAATCTCGGGCTTCATCACTGCTCTCACTAACTTTACCCACCATCCCCACTGTACGACTGAAAAAGATTATGACGTGAGTTTCACAAGTAACCTGCGCCGTTTCTGATAAGGCCTATGAGTGCTACGGAACAGTCTTACAAAGAGTCGTGAGCTTTAAGAGAAGCAGGACGTGGGGCCTCAAGGCTCGTCCTGTGGGAGGAGTTTCCACTTCACAGAGGCACCGAGTGCCTCCTCAAAATCGTCCAGCTCCTGCTCCTTGGAGAGCTCCAGGAAAACCTGTAAAGGAGGAAAAAACAAGGGGAGGAGGATGCCAGGCTGCCTTGTACAGTTCCAACCATGTACGTGAGGTAGCCCGCGTGGACCCCGGATTTCACGGGTGACAGAAGATCACTGCGATGGACCCACCTGCTCCAGGGTGGACTGTGAGAGGCTGTACTCCTCCAGGCCGAAGCTCTGTTTCACTGCACAAGGATGAATATACATTAGGTGCTTATACATTTTTTATTTGGAGAATTTTACTTTGTCATAGCAAATATAAAATATACGGTAATAACAAATACTTTTGTACTAATATGAGAATGCAAGTGCCTTATAAGTAGTTCAGCAGGATGGGAATATTGTCCCACTTTCTTAGAGTTTTGATGCAAGGAAGCACCAGATGACTGGAAAACCCTACCAGAGGCTCAGAACTTCCAGCTAAGGGAAGGTTTGCCCTGAGCTGGAAAACTACCATGTGTGTCTCTGTCTCTGCCCTCTCTTCTCCAGAGGTTCCCATAAGACATGTCCTCCAGTGGATTCTACCAATAGAAAGCCTGGCAGGAGGATCACGAGATAAGGGAGCGCATGGCGTTTATTCTTTCACTACCCACCTGACACCAAGTGTATCCCTTGACGGGTTACTATTTGTGTCCAGGTGGCAAATTCTGCATGACTCTGCCCCTATCTTCTGGTCACGGTTTCAGTGCTTTGTACCTTTCCCTAAGGCAATGACAGTCTTGCTGTTTCTACCCTTGAGATATTGCACAGTTACTGCACACTCACGCAGGAGACCCTGCTGCCATGTGTCAGCTCTGCTGACAAACTTTTGCTCCTTATTATTTCTTTTTCCTTCCCCTTCATTCCACCCTGGAGAGACCCAGAACATCAGCTTACCAGTCAAGAGGGGAAAAGAATAAAAAGAGAGACATAACTGACCATGCCGTCTTTCCAGCTGCAGATCTCCACAGTGGGGTGAGTCTGAGCTGGAAGAGGCATGTAACACTCAAGTTTCACTGGAGTTTGTGGTTACTCAAATGTGACCTGATGTGGAAGAAGGATCTATGCAGTCAGAAAAAGGACGTGTCAGAGAATGTGCATTATGCTTGCATGGTACCAAGCGTAGTCCATTCCATAAATGTACATATTGCTGCTGAGAATGTAATAAGGTCTAATAATAGTTTGAGAAAAAAAATTCCATCTCATGTTTCCACATTTTGTACATTGTTTCATATTCATGTAACTAAGGTAGGAAATTATGATTAAAAGCCCCCCCCAAATAAAAACCTCAGTTTGAATAAATTGAACAAACCAGACACAATTTGGAACAGGAGAGAGCATTTTTGAAAGCAGAAATATTAGGAACCTTATGAAGAAAGGTTCAATTGTATTCTAGGGAGGCCGTCTCTCTAAATCTCTCTGCAACTAATTCATTACAAAACACAAGAGAAACCACGTGGAAATCCTTTCCACTGGAATGTTGCAAACCTGGCCACAAGGAAAAATGGTCAGAATAGAAAACTAACGCTTCCAAGGAGAAGCCTCTCCTCAGGAACTGGGAAGCCTGAAGTCTGTATGATTTTGCAGACAGATATGAATTCAGAGAGTACAGCTCAAGAGCCTGGGGAAAATGTGTAACTCACTGGAGTTCGTACAATGACACTGATACAACAGGCAGAAACTAAGCTGAGTGAAGAGATCAATGCAATATGTGACGGCCAAATGCAGTGCCTAAAAGGAGTCACAGATTAGCTCCCTGGAACAGACAGGAACCATCTCACCAGTGTCCAATGCTACCCAAGAAGACCTCAAAACAAAAACAAATGCATATTTCTCTGTTTGTATAAATTTTGGGACACTCCAGCCTTGAATGTCAATGGTCTTTTTCCTTGTTGAGCTATGGCAGTCTCAGCTCTAATGACAGTTCGGTCAAACCATTCTTTCTCGTGGGGACTGACTGTGCGGTATAAGGTGTCTAGCATCAAACCTGGCTCTATCCACTCGATGACTGCTGCACCCTGTCTCCCTAACTCCAGGACTAATTGTCCCACACTTTGTCAAATCAGCCCTTTTGCCTTGGAAGTCACCGTAATTTATCTATGGTTTAAAAAATCACAATTCTAGGTTTACACACACACACACACACACACACACACACACACACACACACATATATATTTTAATGCTGGGTTGGGTTCCTTCTATTTCTCAGAGTCTGACTTCTACACAATCACTTACCTATCTCTAATTTGGAGAAAGTCCTTGATAAAGGTTGTACATCTTCCATAGGCAACTTGTAAACCATCAGAGAGGAGTACCTGAAACGTGAATAATAAGGCAGAACTCCAGATTTCAAGGTCACAGCCTCCGCTGGTGCATGTCTTAAAAGAATAATCTTGAGAATAACTTTTTGAAATATACAAGTGTGTGTGATCTTGGTGACAACCATAATGGCATAAATGCTCTTTGATCAACTAGGGAGATGTCAGTCTACTAAGAGGAGGATAGGGAGATGGGAAGAAATCAACAGTTTAAAGCCTTAAGAAGAAAGCAAACAAGATTACTTTTCCACGGCCTTACCACGAAGCAAAAAGCACTTAAGTAAAAACTACTTAACCTACTAAGCTATCTGAGCCTCATCTGCTGTTACTGATGATGATAAAAATTCTAAGAGACGCAATCCACTGAGCTTTGACTGATGCTGTTCTGTGGTATGAGCTTTGTACAGGGAGTGTCCTTTAACAGGGCATGGTTTTGCTGTCAAAAGGACCACTGAGAGGAGGTAAGCACATGCACACACTAGGAATGCCCAGTCTCCAAATCAGCACATTGCTATCTCATTCTAACCCTGTAGTAGCCTTCATAATGAGACCCTTCTCTAGTTATTAGTGTACTGACAACTAAAAAACAAAAAAAGGAAGAAGGGAGGGAAGAACTCTTACTCCTCATCATCATAACTGAAAAAATCAACCAAAGACCAAGATGAAGCAACAGGTTTATTTACCTTTCCTGCCTAGCTGCCTGGGGGAAGAGCCTCAGGATCTCTTCGTGGAGGGGCTCCACATGGGTGGGAGTCCTCACCTTCATCTCCAGCAGATAATCTTTGCCAAATTTGCTCTTGAGATGTTGGATGGAACCGATACACCTGGAGGTTGGAAATGGAAGTCGAGTAAGGTGAGGGAGGCTACTCCGACCAGAGCTGTCCAGTGTCTGGAGGCCAAGGCCACAGTCCCCCAGAGCCAGAAGCAGTATCTTGAGCTTCTCACAGAGGAGATGTCCTGTGACTGGCGGGTCCAGTGTTGGTCTGAACGGCCCTCACCTCAGCCTTCCGGCCACCATGATGGCTATGCGATCACAAACAGCCTCAGCCTCTGCCATGTAATGGGTCGTCAGAAGGGCACCCCTCTCCATGCGTCTAAAGGTGGCCCGGATTGCCTGCCTAGAATTAGGTTGAAGGGAAATAAATGAAAGTACTGTCCAAGGTTGGGTGGAAACTTTTAGGAAGAAATTTCCCTGTCACACATAGGGAACAATTAGTGAATTCAGAGTAAACCCAAACCAGAATTATGGGAGGGATAATAAGCAGGGAAATAACCAAATTATTGGTTATAATTTGGCAACTAGTTTGGGATGAAAATGCAATATGGTGTTGGGTGAAAATTATTTAGCAACCTGTTGAGTTTGAGCAATGTTTATGAGAAGACAGATGGAAGACAGAAAGAGGAACTTACTAAAATGTGTGACCGTCACAACATGTACTAGAAAGGTACAAAATGGAAGAGATTTCCTAAAATAATTAAATAATATATTGAGGATTTGGAATGTCTCTTTTATTCTTTGCATGAATTGTATGTGAGGTGATGTTGCAGAAAGAGTTAAAGTTTGGTACTTGATTGATCTGACTATGTCCCATGCACACCCAAGAGACTTATGAGGAAAATAAAGTTCTTAGAATGGATTTTTAGTTGAAAGAGTATATCTTTTTCTTCTCAATGAAAACTGATGGTAGGGCTATTTTTCCTTAATGTTGCTTTTTTCTTTCATAGTGGATGAGTGTCTTATCCTTTTTCAGTAAACAATGATTTTGAAGGCTTTTATTAAAGGACATGTTAATCTACATAGGGGCTACACATGTGTTTCCTCACCACATCTGCTGCTGGCCCTCGGGGTCCATCCCAGTGGACGGCTCATCCAGAAGCACCACTGATGGGTTTCCCAGGATACTGAGCACAAAACACAGCTGAAACAAGAGGGACAGCCTGTCAGCACAATGCTGTGATGCACAGATCTATACCAAGCCCTTGCATACCTTCCTCTTCACTCCCTCTGACAAGGTCTTCACCGGTGTCTTCAGCTGGTCCTGAAGCTTGAGGGCTTCCACCAACCTGAAGGAAATAGAGTGAATCAAACTTCATTACCCAGGAGCAATGGGGATTGGATGTAGGAGAACAAGCAAATCAAAACAGTATAATGGCGGAAAGTAAAGAATCACCAGCATGGTCATAACTGGGAAGTCATTGAGAATATGCTACAGCTTAGATGTGCCCCCTAAAGGATCATGTATTGGGAGACTGGTCATGTGGTGATATTAGGAGATGGTGTGGAACTATAAAAGATGGAGCCTAGTAGGAAGTCTTGAGGTTGTCTAGGTCACTGGGGTGTGCCTTGAGGAGGAGTTGTGGCACCCCCCTCTGTCTCCGGTTTCCTGTCTGGTCATGTGATCTCTCCCACTCGCGCACACACCCCTGCTATGACCCATCATGGCTGGGTCCTCATCACAGGTTGAAACAATGGGGCTGCCCAATCTTGGATCTTCGCTTTCTAAACCATGGGCTAAATCTCTTTTCTTCATGACTAAGTAGCCTGAGGTGTTTCATTACAGTAAGACAAAACTGACTAATGTAGATATTTTCTCTCTCTTGGATGTCATGCTCCTATTTTCAATGGCTTCTTCCCATATTAAAGATAATCAGCAACCTTTTTTCCTCTAGGCTTAGAGTTAGAGAAAATAATACCGAACTGGGTACTAAATAGCCAAGACTTTTCCCACGAGCAAGGGATCAGTGATTAGAAACTACTGTCTTTCATTTTGTGTTCTTGAATTTTGTTTGCAACACTGTTAACATCACACCCCCACAAGATAAGATGCATGTGGTTCGCTCACGTACTGTGTGATGGTGACCATAGCATCCCTTTTCTTCAGCCCCTTCACAGCCGCGTATACTTCCAGGTGTTCCCTCACTGTCAGGCTAGGCCACAGCACATTCTCCTGAGGACAGTACCCCAGGAACCCCAGGGTGTCCCCTTCACTGCTCCTTTTCAAAATCACCTAGACAAAAGGAGTCCATTCTCTAGTTCTGTTCAGAATTGTGTGTGTTTGTGCAAGTGAGTGTATGCTTCAGGGAGTTTCCATCATGTAAGTACAAAAGTTAAAAAGTTACCAAATATAGCTCTGGGAAAATGACAAAACGCACAATAATTTAAAAGACAACATTCCATGTTGTTGTAATCTTCCATCATAGTTCAGACTGACTACCGGTTTCATTACTAAGGTTCAACTCAAGGTGGCTTATTTAATTGTTCAACACTTGGCTTTATTTGCTGATCCCAAAATTCAAAAGAATAGGTACTTGTTAAAGGTTCTGTTTCCCTAATGATAAATAGTTATAATGGTAGGATCTGACTAATAATTAGGCAGTGGTTCTCGGTCAGGGACAGTCTTCCTCCCAGAGTACATTCAGCAATGTCTGTAGATACATTTGGCTATCACAGTTTGTGTTTATATCTGGGGTGGGAAGGGTGCTATTGGCACCTAGTAGGCAGGGACCAGGAGTGCCGCTAAACATCCTGCTACACACAAAAATTATCCATCCCAAAGGTCAGTAATTTCAAGGTTAAGAAATTCTGAACTAAATAATATATGAAAAGGCTTTACCACTGTGGTACAAAGGACCACAGGTACTTCAGGCCAACATTTGTTATTTTTAGGAGCCAGGCTCTGTGCTATCCAGGAATTTAAGTAGCTAATGTCTGCTCAACACTTGCCATATGCCAGAATCTAAGCATTTCATGTATTTTGAGTTACATTGTCTTTACAGAAGCCCTACGTGTGTTATGTGTTAACTTCATCATTGCTGTTTTACATATGAGAAAACTCAGACTTATGTGGATTAAGAAATTTTAAGAAGAGAATATGATGAATGAAGCTGGAATCAACCTTCAGAACCCACACCCTTAACATTGATGCTGAACTGTCTCACCCAAATGCAAAGCAGGAGAAGACAACTTAACTTTGCCTCATAGAATTTTCATTCTAGAAAGGGAGAAACAGAAAACTAACAAGTAAATACATAAATGGACTAATTAGGGCCTCTTCTTAATCCTTTGAGGGAAGTAACTGCTCTTAACAATAGCATGGAGAATTTAACGTAGAAAAAAGCGGAGCCTAGTACAAAGTCCTGAGGATGACTAGGTCACTGGGGTGTGCCTTGAGGAGGACTTGTGGCATCCCCCTCTGTCTCCGGTTTCCTGTCTGGTCATGTGATCTCTCCCACTCGCACACACCGCTGCTATGCCCCATCATGGCTGGGTCCTCATCACAGGTTGAAACAATGGGGCTGCCCAATCTTGGATCTTTGCTTTCTAAACCATGGGCTAAATCTCTTTTCTTTATGAGTAATTGGTAATTAGGGAAAGGTCTAAAGGAGGTAGATTTTCTAGTGAAGAGGCGATAACTAAGCACGTGAGGGCAGAGTACATGAGTAGATCAGACCCAAAGATACTGCAAAGTGAAGGTGACTGAAGGCCAATGTGGCAAAGGGTAGAGGATATGAAAGGCTGTTAACAGAGCCCACACCATGCCAAACCTTTTGCAGACATGGTAAAATTTTTGAATCGATTTTAAGTCAGGGGTTGTAATCTGGAGAGTGACAAGGCATCGTTTGCATTTTGTAAGGACTGCTCTAGCTGCTCTGTGAGGTAAAAATGGAAATGGAAAGACAAATTTGAAAATGCTGTAGCAATCATCACCTCCTTGCAACTTTCCTTCTCCACACTCCTTCTGACTTTAAGTTGGAATCAAATATCAAGAGCATTTTCCCTCTGAAGTTGTAGTCCTTTGGTAGCTAACCGTCATTTTACCCAAATTGGACGAGCCAAGTGAGATTCATATAGTCTTCTGTTTTTTTGCTTTGGAATTTTGACAATTATGAATTTTTTTTACTTATAATATCCATGATCTTAATAGATCCTGAGTTTTTTTGCACCAGCCCTGAGTTATGATTGTGCTCCAAGAACTTCAATGGATTTACGGTACTATCTTCTGCTGCCCACTTCTCTTGTATAGCTGGCCACATACTTGTATCCACTGGGTCAGGAAGTGCCCCAACAATTACAAGAAAGTTTCTGTTGCATATGCACTTTGTAAAGATTTACACAGTACTATTTGCTGATGAATTCATTGTTACAAAATGTCACATAGAATCTTTAATTACAGCATATAAACAGAAAAGTTATTCAATTTGATGATTCATGACTATAACGAAGTGAGCAGGCCTCATCATTATTCTTACAGTGGTTTCTGGATTAGATAATTCAATTTAACAAGTTCTTAGTGTAGATAATTCAACAAATCAAAGACTTCTGATCTCAGCAGTATATATTTACTTTTAATACCTCTATTTTTTTCACCGAGTATAGAAAACAATAGACTTTCTCATCAATCAACCATTTTTGGAATTAAGGAGAAGTTTTAATCAGTCCTTTTCATTCAGTGCATAAGTTCACCCAGATTGCTTATGGACTGTCCCAATTTTCATGATTGCCATCAGTACTCATTATAAAATATTTGCTCTGGGAAGCATTAATGACCATATTTGTGTGCATTTTACTGACCTGCCCTGCAGTTGGTTTTATGTCTCCAGTTATCATTTTAATCACTGTACTTTTACCAGCTCGGTTGTGTCCCAAAAGCCCTACAACTTCACCTGAAAGAAATAGATATGCTTAGAAATGCACAGATAATTACAGCAAAAATAAAAGCAAGCCAAGCATGGTGCCACATGCCTGTAACACCAGCACTCTGGGAAGCTGAGGCAGAAAGAGTGCAAGTTTGAACCCAGACTAGGCAACAAGACCTTGTCTCAAAATAAAAACTTAGAAAAGGTCTGGGGATGTAGCTCAGTGTGAAGGCCCTGGGATCAATCTCTAGCAGCACAATCGATCCATCGATCGATCAATATAGCAAATACTATTTGTGGACTCCATCAAGCATTATGGGAAATGTGGTATGTACACTATTTCACCTTCTCCTCCTCCCTACTTTTTTATTACTTGGTTCATATTTGTTTTCTCAAATGAGGAAGCTGAGACCTAAAGAGCATAAGTAATTTGCCCAAGGTCATACAGCCTGTAAGAGGCTGAGTTGGAATTTGAAATAAACTTTGATTACAAAGCTCCTTGCACCTCACCAGCTCTTCTATAGCACGTGCTATTTTTAGGAATGGAGAATGTGCTACTACGCCTCGGGCAGTTCTCTGAGGTCATGAAATTATGCTGCTTTACAATCTATCCAGGGTTGGCGTGTGGCTGGGTAGTAGAGCACTTTCCTAACACGTGTGTGTGTGAGGTCCTGAGTTCAATCCCCAGCACCATAAAAATGTAAAACGCAATATGTGTGTGAGAAAAATAAACAGAACCTATATCATCATTTTTAACAGAAAACCTGGCTCTTTGTTGTTATTGTTCTGTTCATTTGTCTTAACAGAACAGACACACTATCTTCCTGTGCAAAGAAAAACTGTAAGTGTAAGTGTGGTGTGCAAGCAGGAAAAAGCAGCCTTAGTGTGATAATGAGTTGGTCGCCTTTCCTGTTCATCAGTGGATAACGCCAGATTCAGGTACTCTTCCTGCCTTAGAAAGATACAATCGTTAGAGGCCAACTGCGCTCAAAAACAGAACTGTTGTTTCTAACCTTTTTTAACACAGAAAGAGACGTTCCTTGTGGCAAGTTTTTTCTTCTTTCTGGAAAAGCAATTTTTCTTTTTGACTGCATATTCCTTCCGGAGACAGCTGGCAATGATAACTGGTTTCTGTAAAGACAAGCCAATAGCAATGGGACATTATTACCTCCTTGTGTTAAGAACACTCCATACTTAGAATCCTCATAAAACTAAAACTAGAGGTTCTCTTTTACCAGCTATTCCCCTTCTTAGTATCTTCTCAAAAGAATTAAAAGCATCGTACCACAGTGATATATGTACATCTATGTTTGTAGCAGCACAGTTTGTAATAGCTAAATCTTGGAAACAGCCCAATGCCCATCAACCAGTGACTGGATAAAGAAGATATAGGGGTTTTAAAAAAATACAATGGAGTATTACTCTGCCATAAAAAGACCATTCTCTTAAGTGAAATAAATAGAATACACGTGTGCAAATACTGAATTGTTCCTCTGGAAAAATGGAAAGTGTAAATGAAGACCAAAATGTATAATAAATATTATGAAATAGAAAGAAAATGTTTGAAGGGGGAGGATACTGATGGTGGAGGGGAAGGAAAGAGGAAAAGAAAAAATGAGGAAAGAAGGAAAAAATGGAAACAAAGCTTTTGTAAATAAGGAGGGATGGAGGAGTTGAAGGGAGGGAAGCAGAATGGGGAAAAATAAAAACCAAGATATAGCATATACAAATTCCCCATGGTGGAGGTGATTATAATGTACATCTAAGATATACCAATAAGGTTCATGAATTAAAAAAAACAATACTCCATACTCCTTTCTAGCAAACCTTTCCTCATTCAAGACTGTGGAACAAACTGATCCTTCCTCTAGAATAGGTTGATACTGTCAAGTGAATTCTCTCAAATTTGTATTCCTTCAGAAAAGGGACACTGGCATCATATCGTGTGACTTGTGCTTGCTCTTCTTCAAAGAGGAGAAATAAAAGCATTCACTGAATCAATAGATTTAAGACACACACTGTCACACACACATATGCATTTAACACATGTACAACTCAGAGGAGCTCTCTCTTCCTAATTCCTTGCAGTAAGCTTTAGTTGGGTTATAAAGCTTACAAAATCATACTTAAGTTTTATAACATTTAGGTGTACTTATGAAAACTATGACTTTGAAAAAAAATTAACAAAGTAATCTCTGTGTGTGTTCATGTTTCCCTTGCTGTCTTACCCATGTGGGTACTGCATAGCTCCTGAAGTCAAATCATAAATTACCTGAGTAAGGATAAATGGACCTCAGGTGCTTTTCAAAACTTTTACCTGCCCGGCAAAATGATTTGAAGATGAAGAATATTTTTGCAATTTTTACCTCTTCCTCATCCAAGGCAGCCATGGCATTTGCTGTTCTTATTCTTTCCATGTGAACATCTTCATCTTCTCCTTCAGGTTCTTCTGGGTTTGGAAAAACATCGCTGCTTCTCGGAGAAATTCTAAAATCAAAATGGCATGATAGAAATAGGTTCCCAGGTGAAAAGCTTTTAGTAAAAGTAATGAATTTTCTGCAAACTGCAATCAATTATTTGAGCAGATTGACAAAGGAACACAGCAGGATTTTCATTCTTAAACTCTCTGTCATTTGCCTGTGAAACAGCCTAGTTGCTATCAAACAATCAAAAGATGCTACTCATATCACCTTTGATTTTTACCTAAGTTTAATTCTCCTTGATGGTGATGACTGCTTTCCCCCCCAAATAATAAACTAAAATACCCTCTCTGGTGAAAGGATTTTGAGGCCGAGTTTCACGAGAACGATGGGTCAAAACACTCAGGCTCAGGGGACGATCCCAGAAAACTTTGGACATCTAATCACCATCCCAGTGTCCACTCAGTTATTGAGCAGGATCTCTTCTTGGGAATTTGTGTCAGAATCACTCTTCCCTCACTAATCCTTTTCTTTACCACGACCACTCCATTGAGTCCTGCTAATTTCTACGTTTCTCCCTTGAGCCACCTCAAATAAATGCATTGATTTGGTTTTCTAAATCATGTCCTCACAGTCTGCACTACCCCTAACACTAAGTTTGAGCCTGATAATCATTTGGGGTGGTAGGCTAGGTGCTCAAGACATAGTTGATCTCAATTTTGTATTATGTAACTTATAATACCTTCTTATTTTTCCTTGCTTCAAGACCCTCTGGCATCTAGCTTTAAGATCATTTTCATTCCCTACAACACATGCCTTCAACTTCATTTCAGCTCTCTCCTCTCAGCTACTGGGAGAAGGTATGTATCACAACCTTTGTCTTACTGATCACACTTCATTTCCTTTCTGGATTGGTTACACTTATAAAATTGCTTGTCTGTGCTTGCACATTATTTTAAAGATTCTACCCCTTGCATACAACTTTCCTCATGCTAGCCATATCACAGTCTGCCTTAATTCTCACTCTTTTATCTGTGCTAATGTGGGTCTCTCACTAGATTGTTGTGTACACAATTATTATAATTCATGTTACTTCACTGAGTTTACAAAGTCTCCTAGAATAATCTCAGGAGGCAGGACTTTAAAAAATCAATTTAGACATATTAAAATATCTTAAAGGATGGATACTAAATGAAACATGAAATTCTGTTCACTTTTATCCACCTGAAAACAGGGTCCTTTCTCAACGATTTCTTCCTGAAGTGTCCTTCCAGACATCGCAGAACAAAAAGGAAAATGAAAAACTGGAGGTAAGGCTAAGGGGAAAGAACGACAATCAAAATTAACATCATCACGAAGGGAGGGCAGGGACAAGGGGAAAACATGAGAACCAAGACCTGTCATGTAAAGGTACAAGATCCCAACAATGAATGTAACTGTACTGTATACCTAAAATGTACCAATAAACTCAATTTAAAAAATTAACATCATCACAAAATCAAGATTTCAATACTGGAATTCATTTAAGGAACTGTATGATCTGCTATAACTGTGACTATATGGAAAATTACACTTGATAACATTTCAGAAGGCTGCAAGCAATCTACTTAATATTTTATGAAACTTTGAGAGTTACTCTCTCTGCTATTTAGGGAAAACATAAGGTAGCAGTGCTAACTTATGCCACTACTACTCATGCTGTTAAGAACTGGTACTTCCCACTTGGCACCCTTTGACTCTTGCAATGATAATGATTTAGATCAAAAAGTCATTTTGTGTGTGTGTTTTCTTTCATATGCCACAAATGTCTTTTTTGTTTGTTTGTTTGTTTTTTGTTTTTTGATACTGGGGATCGAACTCATGTCCTTGTGCTTGCGAGGCAGGCGGCAGAACCACTGAGCTAAATCCCTGGCCCATAAATGTCATTTTTAATTGAATGCAACTCAAAGAAACTCAAACCACACAAAGGCCGTATCCTCTCATGAATATCGTTGAAGAGGAAATGTCTTCTTACTATTAGCAATGCCAGAAAAACTATTTGAGATTCTGAAGCTCCTAAGTAATCCATGGAGTCATAAGAAATCTGTAAAACAAAGAGACAGCTATTTATATAACCTTCCCTTCAAATGGCCTTGCCACTGTTTTACCTGATTCTCCTCATGTATCAGGTAAAGTCAATTTCTGACTGTGCAGAATGCCTTCCCTTTCTTCCAACTTGTCTGTAGGTGGAAGTGCTCTTTGTGTAACGCTGTGAATTAGCACCATTCTGGGCAATACTGGCAAGACCCACTGAAGCCATGGGCCATGCTGCCTTGAGATAACACTCTTCTCCAACTTTTGTCTTTCTTTTCCTGTTTGTTCTCTTTTGCTTTATTCTTTCTTCACAAACCCTATAGTCATATTTTTTATTGTTCTCCTAGATCTCCTTTTGAGAAGAATCACAACAATCCTTCAAACCAAATCCATTACGAAGAGTTTCATATATAAATGCATCTTCCCAAGAGCTCCACTAAAGGATATTTATTTCATTATGAATAAAGGGTAAAGGAGTCAATTTTATTTAGGGAGCTATAGTCACCAAGACATTTCTCTTAGAAAATATAAATGTCTTGTATTAAATATCTAAGTATCACATCTAAAAAAGATTTTGTTTTCCACATTGGTGGTTTCTTAAGACTCTAACATCATTTCAACAGATCTTGTTCTCTTAAGTGTCTTAGATGATCACTTTCAATAACTGTACCCCATTCCAAGATGAAATCAGTGCTCCCTAATTTCTGCCCTCTCTGCCATCAAGTTTTACTTTTCCAGATTTTTGAGATTCTACTGTCCTTACTCCATAATTCGGAGTTGGTGAACCCCTCACCCACCAACCTTTGGCAACTGTCTATTCACCCCCTTCATGTCCTTACCTTGTGTCTTTCTTAGTTCAGAATCCATGGCCTATTGTTCAACAAGTCCTCCTTATATAGAACTACATCCCTCTCTCCTTTTCCTCTTCATTTTTTTTTTTTTTGTACCAGGAGCCGATCTCAGGACCTTGTGCCTGCCAGGCAGGCACAGTGCCTCTGAGCTTCATCCCCAGCTCTCCTTTTCTTTATCAGACTCATCTGGCAACTTTTCATCACTGATTGAACCCAATTCTCTACTTGCCATAAATTGTCTCAAAAGCTGACTGTAACATAAACTTTCCACTTTGTTGGCTGTGCTTGAAAAGTAGGGTAGACACCTCACAAGCGCAGGGACCAAAGTTCGATCCCCTGCAAATAGAAAAGTAGGGTAGACTGTCTTTCAGTAGATCAACCCTTCTGACTTCACTCCCTGAAATAATTTTTCATATTTTTTATTCTATTGTCAAAATCCCTATCCCCCTTTTTCTACCCCCCAGCTAATGACTTCATTTCCCCAAAAAGGGCATGTTATTCTCATCTTTCTACCAGCAAACTGCTAAGCCACTTACCTCTGTATTTTTATACTCTAATAATGATCTTGTTAAATAGATGGAATGTTCCTGCTTTTTTGGAGACCAACCCTTTTACTAGCGCACTTTATTGTATATCCAACTGTTTCCTCGACATTTCTCTTCAAGTGCCTGTGAGGAACTCACAACCTGACATATCCAAAACTTAGCAGAAAAACCACCTCAGTAGGGTTCCCACGGTGAGAGTTAGCATGAGAACTATAAAACGCCCCTTGACTGAAGTCGCCTTTGACCTTCATGAACCGAGGCCTGGCTTCCTACTGAACAAGAACATGCCCCTTATCTACGTTAAGACAACTGACTTTCTGAAGACAAAGACATCAAACTTGGCATGGCTGAGGACTCTGCTCACATTTTTGCAATATCTAGGGCTTTCTCTACTAGCCATATATTTTATGGTGCTAGGACAGGACTAGAATTACTTACCTCAGAAAAAATGAATAGAGAACCAATCAGTGTGAAGGGTGGTATTAATATAGTGCAGAAAAATAGCCCCAGAAATGTATATTCACTTAGATCAGTAGCAAAAATTGTGAAGATGGTGACCTAAAACAGAAGCACACCCTAGTGTCACTAAAATTGTAATTTTAAGTGAAATGAAACAGACATGCAAATTTAAATATCAGATCATTTCTCTCGTGTGAGAAATCCAAAGCTTACATAAGGAGCAAAATGGAGGACAGTTGTTAGAAATTAGGAAGAATTTGTTCAAGTAAGAATAAAAAGGGAGGGGAAAGGGCAGGAAGGGAAAAGGGATTTGAAAGAGAATAGAGGGGGAAAATGGAAAGAAAGCTTTGTAAATGAGGAAGGAAAGGCTTGAAGGGAGGGGAATGGAAATAAAGGAATTAATATATTATGTACAAGAACAAATTTCCCATGGTGAACGTGATCGTTATGAATGGCAAACACATACTAATAATAAAATAAATTAATTTAAAAACCAATCTGAACTACAGGCTATTTTCAAAGAGAGTAATAATTGATCTCACTCATGTTCATATTTTCTATTATTATCATATTTTTTTTCCTTTGTGACTATTCTATTAGACTGAGTATTTTTTACTAGAAACAATGTTGCTTTTCAAACTCAGTGTCCATATACATCAGCTGAAGTTCTTGGTAAAATCAGATTTTGATAAGTTTTTACTCCATTTCTGCATTATTTTATCTCAAAGTAGGCCACAAATGCCCTTTTATGTTAAGCATACCAGCTGTTCACTTTCATAGGTGCATATTTCTTCGAGTAGATATCCAAAAATACACAATTTTGTCTTCACAGAATGTGTTATTTTACAATTTTGTGACCTATTAGCCATCGTGTACATTAATCCTTTTATTTTGACATTTTTAGTCTTGTGGGAAAGATTCTGAAAAGTCAATTGCAGGTTAAAATTTATGCAAATATACAATCTCAAAGGTCACTAGCATTTTTCAAAAGAATGGTGACAATCTATTTCTCTCAAGCCCTGAATTAGAGGGTGTATTATGTCACATCATACTAAAAAAGATGCTATATTTAATTACTGTAGGTATCCTTGTCCTATTGCTGTTATTATGTGAATAATTTATAAATACTGTGTAATAATGGGATATTTGTCCTTTGTTTTTGGTAATCTATCCTTGTGTTTACGTTTTCCTTTTATTGGGTCTTTTTAAAGACATTGTATGACGTTTCTTCAACTCATTAGTTTTCTTTGATATGACTCGTAATACTGAACAACTGCATTCTGGAATCAATCATTCTAGACGGTTCTTATCATTATCCTGTTAACTTCTAGGTTTGTTTTGTTGTCTTTTTATTTAGCGTGGCCCTTTACAGTTCTAAGTAAATTCATTAATGCTCTTCTTTCTCAGGTGTCATTATTCTGGTCTTATAAAAGAAATTACTCAACTTCGTGGGTGCTTTTCTATTAAAATATACTATGAGCATGCTTCTGAAAGTCATTCAATCATATTTCTAAACTAATTTAAGGGCCACCGCTGGTACTTTTCTGGCAATTTTTCTTTTCCTGAATTCATTATTCTGTTTTTTTATCAAAATAATTTTAACCTTAAGTTTTATGTCTTTTATATGGATATAATATGCTTCTGAGTGATTTTTTTTTTCTTTTCTTTCTTTTAGTAGACTATTTTTAGAGCAGGTTTTGGCTTCACAGTACAACTGAGTGGGTGGGATGGAGATTTCCCATTATGTGCCTCCCTTTTGACCAACATCTCCCCCTACAAGTGTATGTTGGTTACACTCGACGTATCTGCATCATCGGATCAGTATAACACCGAGTTCACACTTTACACTAGGCTTACTCTTGGTCTTATATATTCTATGGGTTTAGACAAATTTAAAATGTTGCGCATCCAGCATCATAGTATCATAAAGAGTAGCAGTTTGACTAACAGAAAACACTCCATGCTACCTATTCATACTTCACCCTTAATTCTCAGCAATCTCGATCGTCATCCTGTCCCCACTGTCTGGCCTTTTCTACACTCTAATGTGGAAGGGAACACATAATATGTACTATTTTCAAATTGAGTTCTAGTAATGCATTCAAATTTCCTCCATACCTTTCTGTGGCTTGATAGTTCATTTCTCTTTGGGGCTAAGTGATATACTATTGCCTGTATGTATCAGAGCTTATCCACTCCCCATCGTGGATAAATTGGTTGATTAACACTAGTATAAACATCTATGTGCACGTTTTTGTGTGGCCTAAGGATTTTATTTTAAAAAGTGCTTATAAAAGCTGCATTCTTTGAGATCACATTTGAGCAGGTCAAATCTTCCCTAGAACTGTAAGTTGGACATATAACATTTTGGGGAGAAGAAATTTCATTTACTTTTCCTCAAATATATGAAAATTGAAAAAGGAATTTTGGAAAGTAAATTTGGAGGCAATTTGAATTCTGCTTTTGAATAGCTGATTTCTACTTCTTGGGTGCTTTTCCTTTCAGGTTTCATACATTAATGAGCATTGCTCATTCCACAGCAATTCTTTCTTAATTAGAGGATTCATTTTCCTTTTATAACCTCATATATGTTGTTCTAAACAATATATAGATGAATTTCATTTTTTAATCAAACTAGAACCTGTCTTTTCATTTTACAATTTGTAGTTACTGCATTTTGCTTTTATCTTTCTGGCAAAAGACAAATATCAGCCCATGTGAAATGTTCTTTTCATCATCCTGAACTGGAAACTTTTTCCCATCGCCTTTTGGTGGTATAAACACTTTAAAAAGCAATTTGGAACACTCTACTAACACTGAACATATGAGTGTTGACCTAAGAATTCCACTACTATGTTTTATCTCAAATATATGTGTGTGTGCGTGTGTGTGTGTGTGTGTGTGTGTGTGTGTAAATTGTTCGAAATACAAAAACGTTAATAACAGAGTTTTCCATAACAGCCCTGATGAAGTCACTTGAATGTCAATGGATAAATAAATTACAATGCATTTCATAGAATACTGTATCAATGGAATGAAACTGAATTACTACGGCAATTACCAGATACAATAGCACTTGGCTCTTGAAATACATTGTTGATTAAATGTAGCTGGTGAATAATGCATTCTGCATGGTTCCATTTTAGTTAAGTTCAAACTGGCTAGCTTATAGTATTAAAACTAAGGATGATGATTTTCTATAAGGAGGGAGTAAGGTTGGAATGGGGAGGAGGAGATTCTAGCCCCTCGGTAATATCCTGCTTCTTGATGTGCCTGGTGGTGTTGTGGAAGTGCTTATATTAAATTTTTATTGTTTAAAATATGTACCTTCTGAGTGTTTTACTTTTCAATTAAATTTTATTTTTAAGAGATCACTGTGGGTATTTTATAGAGAAGAGTTTGTGGGATGAAACAGGGGAAGCAGAAAGGCTGGATTTAGGTCTGTTGCAGGGCTCCAGGTAGGGCACGATGAAAGCTCAGAGGAAGGAAGCAGTGGTGAAGGTCGAACACCAAGCAAGTGGGATATGCCCGAGAATAGAAAGGACACGCAGATAGAGTGAATGAGAGAAGAGTCAGAGAGAGGAAAGACGAGATCTGGGGTAGGAGCAGCTAACTGGGTGGATTCGCAGCAATAATGTAACCTGCTGCGTGATGAGAAACATAGAATTGAAGAGAGGGATGTATTTCAGATATGGCATCATTGAAGTTCTTTTTAAATATTCAACGGACATTGTGAAGGGTAGAGGTCTAGTTCAGGAGTGTCTGTAGCTCTGGAGATGTGTAGTGATCACTGTTTGGTATGCACCCACGCGCGGTCCATTTTGTATATGCCTATGGTCATCTTAAAGTAATTAGAAATTTCGAGAGCAGTATTAACTTGCCATTCTGCATAGTACAAAGATTAAAATACACATCCCGACGTTTATTTAAGAAAGGTTTAAAAATAAAACAATAGGTACTATATATACACTTACAGTTAAGAAGAAAAATGACCAAATGCCGCTATTCTTTCTGCCATTGCGAAAAATGAATGAAATCACATATGTCAAGAAAACAAGAGATGAGACATATCCAATGCTACACAGGATCTGAAAGCAGACATACTTAGATTAGGCAAAGTAAATACTAATGAGGAAAGTGCCGGTATTCATCTCTCAACTTTTCAAAACTATAGGAAAGATAATTTCATGTTCTTTGGTTTAAGATAAACACTGCTACTCCCCTGGTGAAAAACTAGTCTAATTAAACTATTTATTAATCTTTCTTACTTACCTGAATTAACAGGTTTTGAATTATGAATATAATCTCTTCTGGGCTAAAAACATAATCCATTATTTGCATTAGAAGGAGAATCAAGAAGTAGAGGGGAATATCCACCAATGCCTGTCCAAACCAGTAAGCTGAAGGGTACAGGCCTGAAATCCATAGCTGGGAATGAATTTTTTTCTGATGAAGAAATAGAAGAATCATTAAAAGGTAAAACTTGAGGTTTGGGAAATTTCAAATACATAGACACAAAAGCATTTATTTTTGCTCTATATCTTTTTTTTTTTTTTTTTCTGGCACTGAAGATGGTAGATGGAACTTGGGACCTTGAGCTTGCAAGGCAGGTGGCAGCACCACTGAGCTAAATCCCCAGCCCTTTCTTTAATAATTATTATTATTTTGGTTTGACAAAATGCTGCTACCATTTGCCATACCCCTGCTTTAGAGATATTAAAAATGCTGCAGACTGTGCTCATGACTTCATTGTCCAAAGGGATAATGTACTGATATTACCAGATAATCTTCCATCAGTAAGTAGGCATTTCTGTTCTTCTCTTGCCCAAGGTGCTTCTTCCTTTGACAAGAAGGCATGGAAATTGCATAACGATTTAAGAATGTGAGTTTACAACTGCATCTAATAGTCCTGAAATTTATTGTGAATATGAACAATGCATTTATAATTGGCATTTTATTTAGAATCTAAGGATCAGTCATCTATTTAATCAATTTGATTAAAAAAAAAAACCTTGTGGGGACCTGGGATTTAGCTTAGTGGTGCCACGCCTGCCCCACAAGCACAAGATCCTGAGTTTGATCCCTGGTATAAAAAATAAATGAATAAATCAATAAATCTTTTGGGCTGGCATATGCAAGACTCCTATAAAATGTTGCACTTTCTTAATTATCTTAAAGTGCAAGCAATTTTTCACTATTATAGTGTGAATACTAGTAAGTAGATTTTGATATTGTAACCCATGGAGAGCCACATTGTTACAGTGCTTGTCATAATAGAAGGGTTAACAACTTTAACCTGGACTGTTTATATGAAACATACAAGCAATCAACATTTTAAGTTAAATTGGGCTCATATAAAGGTATTTATTTTAAAAATATGAATGCAAATAAAATATAAATTGTGGAGAGGGGAATGCTTCTGAAAGAGAACAGGAAAGGGAATGATAGTGAGCAAATATTTAGAGAGCTTGATGCTTCTTGTTCATTAATTTTTTAAAAATATATTTACAGAGTATTACCATGTGGCTGGTTTTAAGTCAGTCATGGGGCTCTTGTGGAATTTAACTTGCAGAGGAAGAGGGGGATAAAGGCAGTGTGTATAAGTATAGCTTATAGCTACATGACTAAAATTGTGTATATGTTAATAATAATGGGGTAAAGTCAGAAAGGGGCACTCTGTGAGGTAACACTTGAGTTAGGGTCTGGGCAATGGATAAGAGTTATTTGGGTGACAGGTTGGAAGTATTTTGGGCAGAAAGAACAGCAGGAGAAATGGCCCGGCAGCAGGAAAGCTTATATTTTAGGGAAACTGGAAAGACGCTAATATGACTGGAGCATTGGAATCAAGGTGACAGTGACGTAAAACTGAGGGACAAAGATACAGCCGATTTCAGATGACCCAAGGAATTCCAGGCTATGGAAAGGATTTCGCTGTTGCACCTTAGCACAGTGAGAAACCACTATGGAGATTTAGGCAGGAAATTAACACGGCTAGCTTTGTGTTTCTACAGTATTACACTGCCATGCTCCGTAGAAAATGGAGAAGGAGAAAAGTATTGTATTGCCCATAGCAGAGACAGGGAGGTAGAAGTGCTCATACAGGGAAGAGGTGATGGTGTCTTTTATTAGCGTTGTAAGAAAGGTGACAATACACAAAGAGTCCAGATATATTTCAGAAGTAAATTCCATGACTTATCATTCACTAGCTATGGTGGGGAGGAGAGAAAGGAGTGTGCCATTTAAATTTGAATTTTAAATATAAGTATTCCCACACAATATTTGTAACATATTTATACAAAAAATTCATTATTTATCTGATATGGGTATCTCTAGTTTATTTGTTCAACCTGGCAAACTTAGCAAGAGTGGTTCCTAGATTTCAGCAAAGGCAAAGAAAAAGCAGATCCACTATTTCTGGAGAAGAACAAAAACTGTGTAGGTGGAATTGAAAGAAAAAGAATTGGCTTTCATTATTTTTTCCCCTCAAGAGGAAGCAGTGGATAAATGAAAAAAAAAGGCTCAAGTACCAGGACCATGCACAGATCCTTAAAGCAAGCTCTGATCGCAGTGATGGACATCTATTTTAAACTCAATAAGAAAGAAAGGAGACTGGGCTGAAATTATTTCTGTGCTGACATCTCAGTAACAAGAAGTCAACCGGAAAAAGAACACTCAGGTCAGGAAGCATAGCCCAATGACAATGGCACATGTGAGAACCAGAGAATGGGTTAGGTACAGCAGGAGACTGCAAGGAAAGGTAGGGAACAGACAGAAGGTGGAAGACACAGACAGTGTAAAGAATTAGGATTTAATTCTACCTATAAAGGGAAGCTTTGGGAGGACATTAGACAAAGTGATTAGATGCTCTTATTTAAACTGCCGAAAGTTCACTCTGGTTGTTTGAAAGGAATTTATTACAAATAAGGAGATCATTGAGTAGATATCAAAGTGGTCCAGACAAGGAATGTTGATCACTTAAGACTAGGATGAAAATAGTAGAGATGGGCAAACATGGATGAAATAGATACATTAAAAGTAGTACCTAAGGGAGCTGTTGATTAATTTGACATGAAAGATAAGAGGTTGACAAAGGCTAATTGCAAAATTTCAGGCTAGAGCAACCATGCAAGATACTACCATTCAATGAGATGGGAGAATTGGGAGAAGAGTGGATCTGGTCAGGACAAGGAAAGGTTTGCATTTGCTCAAAATTGAAATGTCTATTTCTGACCTGTGTGGAGATATCAAGTAGGCTACTGTATATATGGAAGTTGAGAACTCTGGAAATAGCTGAAGGGACCGGGGATTTAGCTCAGTGGTGTCGTTGCCTGCATTGCTAGCACAAGGACCCAAGTTTGATCCCTGGTACCAGAAAAAAAAAAAGCGAAATAGATGAAAAGGGGTCCAGGACTAAACCCTAGATATTTATCCATGGAAAGTTATTAATGTTAGGTATTATTCTAAGTGATATTTAGGCATCGTTTCACTCCATCCTCACATAAACCTACTACAAATAGATGTAAGTGTTACACATTTTACAAGTGATGAAGTGAGAAAGAGAATTATTGAACAACTTTCAAATTTCATATAGCTTGATAAATAATCAGAGTCAGGATTTGAACTCAGGGAGGTTCCATTCAGAAGGAGGAAGAAGAGGTAAAGAAGAAAAGGAGAAAAATGAAGAAGAGGGGCAAGGAGGAAGAGGAGGAGGAGAAAAGATAAAGATTGACAAGAATGGTAGAAAAACAGTGAATAAAGTGAGGAAAGAATAGTATTTTGTATTTGTCATGGGAAAAGTTCTTAAAGACAGGAACATTTTAAGAAGTAAAATAGATGAAAATTAATTCAAGCCCATCAAAGACACTCTCCAAACTTTTACAAGGTTCAACATCACAAAGCAAGCATGATGTCAAGACAGGCAGGAAGGGACAAGCTTCTTTCAGAGGCACTAGAAGTACCGTGGAGAAGGAAGAAAGCTCTATTACAGGGTTCTTGAATTTTATATAAAAGCATCAAAATGAAGCTTTGAAGGGATAGTCATTTTCAACAATAAGTCAAAGCGCTGTAGTGAGTTGGTCAGGGCAGTTTAAATGAGTGACTTTATCAACCAAGTCAAAACTGGAAGCCGTCATTGAGAGAGGGGATATGTTTATGTCTATTGGGGATGTGGTTGTGTCAGCAATAAGTATCTGTAAATAAAACCCTAAGTGATACACAGCTAGAGTTATCATTCCCTGTTAGGTGGTGATTTCCAAAGATACTCTTCCTGAGGTCTCGTGTTTGTTTTTTAAAAATATTTTTGAAAACCTTTTCATGGAATCCTTGATCATTCATTGTAGCAAGCACATAAATTAGATGCATCACCTGGATGTTAATCAATACCACAGGGGTCGAAGGAGAGTTCTCTGGAAATTAAAAATATTTGAGAACTTTGTTAACACTTCTTACTTTAGTGTCATCAATGCTGCTCATGGCAATGTAAGGAGTGAAACAGGCGGCCAGTGGTATCCAGAAGAAGGCGCTGCTCAGGTACTCAAAGTCATAAGACATATGTTCCTGAAATCATGCAGAACGTGGTGAGCAGATGGCAACGCTCATCTGGTTCATTTGAGCTGTCTTAACTAAATTAGCCAAGTAAAGGAGTGGAGCTAAGCATTCAAAGTGCTGTTTGCAATTTCTTACTCACATTCACTTTCAGTCCTGTGTTGCATAAGGTAGACATTTTAAGCATGTATTACGACGTACTTATGAAGAAGCAAACCCGAGCAGATGGTAAGAACTGGACAGGTCCTATGGTTTTCAACTTGTGAGGCAGGCACAAAACATCTACTGTCTGTCTTTATGATTACAGCATCAAACAGTGTGTGTATATATAGATACATATGTATCTATATATACTGATTTTGTAATTAGAAAAGACACTGTAAGCTATTATTGGAGATGCTATCTTTTTTTTTTTCTACATTATGAGTTTATTGGTACATTTAGGGATACAGTACAGTTACATTCATTGTTGGGATCATGTACCTTTACATGGCAAGTCTTGATTCTCATTTTTTTCCCCTTACCTCTGCCCTCCCTTCACCCCCTCCTCCCCTCCCCATCTACAAACACTTTATTTTCATCTTTTCATTCTCTCACATTTTTTTCTTTTCCCTTTTTGTTCTTCCCCTACGTATCACACCTTCCCTACACCTTTAGCTCCTTTCCTCCCATTTCTAAATGTCAGTAATCTTATTAGAATCTTATGCATTGTTGCAGAATATTCACACCAGGGAAACTATTTGGTATTTACACATGTGGGACTTATTTATTTCACTTAGGAGTATATCTTCAATATGTATCCATTTTCCTATGAATGAATCTATTCTCTCGCTCTTTATGGCTGAGTAATATTCCATTTTATAGAAAAACCACAACTTCTTTATCCAGTTTCCAACGGATGGGCAAATAGGTTGTTTCCAAGATTTAGCTATTACAAACTGTGCCGCTATAAACATGGGTGCACATACTTCTCTGTGATATGATTCTTTTAGTTCTCTTGGAAAGATACCCAACAGAGGGATGGCTGGGTCAAATGGAACCTCCAGTCCAAGCTCTTTGAGGTATCTCCATATTGATTTCCATAGTGGTTGCACTAGTCTGCACTCCCACCAACAATGGAGGAGGGTTCCTTTCTCCCCACAACCCCGCCAACATTTGTTATTGTGTGATTTCTTGATAGCAGCCATTCTTTGTGGGGTGAGGTGGAATCTCAGTGTTGTTTTCATCTGCATCTCTCGAATGACCAGTGATGTGGAACATTTTTTCATATATTTTCTTGCTGCTTTCACTTCTTTGTATGAGAAATGTCTGTTCATTTCGGATGCCCATTTTTGGATCGGGTCTTTATATTTGGGGGGACTGATTGTTTTGAGTTCTTTATATATCCTTGATAATAGTCCTTTGTCTGAGGTACAGCTGGTAAAAATTTTTTCCCACATTGTAGATTGTCTCTTAGTTCTGCTAATGGTTTCTTTTGAAGTACAGAAGCTTTTTAGTAAGATGAGATCCCAGTTGTTGATTCTTTCTGCTAGTTCCCGTGCTACTGAGGATTTGTTCATAAAGTCTTTTCCTATACCAATGTCTTCCAGAGTTCTGCCTAACTTACTTTCCAGCAAGTTTAATGTTTCTGTTTTAATATTTAGATCTTTAATCCATTTGGATTTTAATTTAGTGCATGGCGAAAGATAAGGGTCTAATTTTAATCTGTGACAGGTTGATATCCAGTTTTTCCAACACCATTTATTAAAGAGGCTATCTTTCCTCCACTGAGGATGGTGAGCTCCTTTGTCGAAGATGAGGTAGCTGAGTACATCTGCATTTGTTTTTGTGTCTTCCAGTCTGTTCCATTGATCCTCAGGCCTATTTCTTTGCCAGTACCATGCTGATTTTATCACAGTGGCTTTGTAGTATAGTTTCAAATTGGGAATTGTTACACCTGGTGCCATGTGACTGTTGCCTATAATGGCTTTTGCTATTCTAGGTCTCTTGTGGTTCCAAATGAATTTTTGGATTCTTTTTTCTAGTTCTGTGAAATATAGTGTTGGAATTTCAATTGGCATTGCATTGAATGTATATAGCAGTTTCGGTAGTATGGCCATTTTCACTATGTTGATTCTTCCTACCCAGGAGCAGGGGATATCTTTCCATTTTTTTATATCCTCTTCGATTTCTTTTTTCAGAGTGCTGTAGTTTTCAGTGTAGAGATCTTTTGTTTCTTTTGTTAGATTGATTCCTAGATACTTCATTTTTTTGGATGCTATTGTAAAAGGAATTTTTTCCCTTATTTCTCTTTCTGTCTGTCTGTTATTTGTGTATAGAAAGGCTATTGATTTTTGGGTATTCACCTTGTATCCAGATACTTTACTGAATCTGTCAATTAAGTCTAGAAGTTTTTTGGTGGAGTTTTTTGGATCTTCAATGTAGAGTATCATATCATCAGCAAATAATGATAGTTTAACTTCTTCCTTTCCTATCTTTATTGCTTTAATTTCTTTCTCTTGTCTAATTGCTGTGGCTAATGTTTCCAGAACTATATTGAAGAGAAGTGGCGATAGTGGGCATCCTTGTCTTGTTCCTGATTTTAACATGAAGGTTTTCAGTTTTTGGCCATTCAATATGATGTTGGCTGATGGTTTTTCATAAATAGCCTTTATTAAATTGAGGTATAGACCATCTATTCCAATTTTTTGCAGGGTTTTTATCATGAATGGGTGTTGAATTTTATCAAATGCTTTTTCTGCATCTATTGAGAGGATCATATGGTTTTTGTCCTTGACTTTGTTAATATAATGTATTACATTCACTGACTTTCGTATGTTGAACCACCCTTGCATCTCTGGAATAAATCCGACTTGGTCATGATGGATGATCTTCTTAATAATCCTCTGTATTCTGTTTGCTAGTATCTTATTAAGGATTTTTGCATCTATATTCATTAAGGAGATTGGTCTGTAGTTCTCCTTTTTGGTTGTATCTTTCTCTGGTTTGGGAATCAGAGTGATACTTGCTTCCAGGAATGAATTTGGAAGTATAGCTTCTCTTTCAATTTCATTGAAAAGTTTGAAGAGTAATGGTAGTAGTTCTTCTCTAAATGTCTTGTAAAATTCAGCAGTGAATCCATCAGGGCCTGGGCTTTTCTTTGTTGGTAAGTTTTTAATTACATTTTCAATTTCACTGATTGTGATTGGGGTGTTTAAAATGTTTTTATCTTCTTCGTTCAACTTTGGTAATTCATAAGTATCTAGAAATCTGTCCATTTCTTCTGTGTTTTCCATTTTATTAGAGTACAGGTTCTCAAAGTAGGTGTTCATGATCCTCTGGATTTCTTTCGGATCTGTTGTGACTTCGCCTTTTTCATTCCTAATTGCATGGATCTGAGCCTTTTCTTTCCTTTTTTTGATAAGATTAGCTAAGGGTTTGTCAATTTTATTTATTCTTTCAAAAAACCAGCTCTTTGTTTCATTTATTTTTTGTATCGTTTTCTTAATTTCAATTGCATTGATTTCTGCTCGGATCTTTATAATTTCCTCTCTTGTTCGAGCTTTGGGTTTTTCTTGCTCTTGTTTTTCTAGGAGTCTAAGTTTCATCGTTAAGTTGTTTATTTGAGCCCGCTCTGTTTTCCTAGTGTGGGCATTCAATGTTATGAATTTTCCACGTAGAACTGCTTTCATTGTGTCCCAAAGATTCCTGTATGTTGTATTGGCATTCTCATTTATTTGTAAAAACTGTCTAATTTCTTCTTTAATTTCCTCTGTAATCCATTGATTGTTTAGGAGAGTGTTGTTCAGTTTCCATGTGCTTGTGAAGTTTCTATAGTTTCTTGTGCTATTGATGTCTAGTTTGATTGCACTATGATCTGATAATAAACAGGGGATGACTTCAATTTTTTTGCATTTATTTAGACCTGTTTTGTGTGTAGATGCTATCTTGCTACTCTCAGAAATCAGTGCCAAATCAATTACTTTTTTTTTTTTGTATCAGGGATCGAACTCGGGACCTTGTGTTTGCCAGGCAGGTGGTGGCACTGCTGAGTTAAATCCCCGGCCCTAGTGCCAAATCAACTCCATTCAATGAAAACTCAGTCTCCTAGTTCAGCATAATGCCCAAGAGGCAAGATCAAATACCCTCAAGGACCTGACTGAGATTACCAACTAGGTGGATATTAGAAAATAAGAGTATTGAAGCTTGGAGAAAAATAATTGGCACATATTCTATACAAAGGCATTGAAATTTTTTGTTTTTGTTTTAAAATCAAAATCCTATACAGGTTAAAGACAACCTTGAGTTTTGTTACAAGCTTGGATTTACCTATAATTAATTGCCTAGTTACAATGCAAGTATCCTAAGTTTTGGGGTCTGTTTTCTCCTACCTCCTCCTAAAACTTAGTGTCCCTCTGAGATCTTATAGCACATATTGTTCAAATAAAGATGCTTATGTGATGATAAAGCCCTAAAAAGGGAAAAAAGGACACCAAAGACTATATCACTCAATTCATATCTTTACCTGTGGATGCCATGATTTATTTTCCTGATTTGGAAGTTCTCTGTGGAGGGATAAGTCACAGACTCAACAGCTAGCCTCCTTACTCATGACCTGGTTTGTAAGTGACATATTATGTTCATGTTAAATTAATTATAGCCACCCATAGTCAGAATTTGGTGAGGCTCATCCTGAAGAGAACCCACAGAAAGACACTTATAACACTGGGAAGATCGGTTCCATTAAGGACTCATTGAAGTGGCTGGTAGGAAATTCCCACAGATGATGAAGGCCATTGAGTGGCGTCAGAAGCAAGGTCTGAACTACGGTGAACACTGTGCTTTAGGATCTAGGAGAATGCACTTGCAGAATTGTAGGAAAATGTCAACAGCCTGGTGGGAACGCAGAGGGGCAAATCAAAAGGGGTGAATTTATATATAAAATCAAGGTCATCTGGGCATTTGGGTAGAAAATACTTTGGATTTAAGACATTTTTTTAGAGGCAGAGCATCAAGTCTCTTGCTCCTTCTTGGAAACACCCTATTCTTGATTATCTAGAAAACTGACTAGACTACTTGAACCTGACACCTGATGGAGTACACTGGTGCCTCTGTGCACTGTAGTTTCATCAGCTGTCTGAAAATAATAATAATATCTCAAAGTCTTATTGGGCCATTTACAAATGTTAGGGCAAGGAAACCACATGGTAAACATTCCTTCTGTCTTAGAAAGAAGGAAGATAATGTGTATACTTTGGGGTAACTCCGAAATTACATTTTCAACATGATAGCAATAGAAATTTAAACACTGGATATTCAATATCATTGAAAAACTAGATTTAGATGTGATATTGTTTTTAAGATTTTTTAAAGAATTCTTTAATAAATAATGTATACTAAAATACTTAGAATTAAAATGATATGGCTTCTGGAATTTACTTCAAAATAATCTTGAAGCTACATGTTCATAATGATTGAGATCAGCTTACAGGTTCATTAAGATGTTATAGGTTGTATTATATGTATGTTTGAAACCTTACATAATAAAAAATTTCCTTAAAAAAACAAAAGAGAAACAAGAACTATTCCTATGTTCTTAGTTCTAATTCAGCCAGTTCTCTAATCTGGTCAAAGTTGAATATCCCCTGGTGGAAATTTTGTTTTTGTTTTACTGTAAATCGAACCCAGAACCTTCACACGGAGCCACATCCCCAGACTTTTTAATTTTTTTACTTTGAGACAAGTTCTCACTAAGTCACTGAGCTGCCCAGGCTGGGCTCAGACTTATGATCCAACTGTTTCAGTCTCCCAGACAGCTAGGGAAATTTCCTTTAAAGCCCTTCCAAAATAAAAATAATAACGATAATGATAAGAAGTATAAGTTATTGAGCCCCTCAAGTTTTCAATGTTCACATGCCCTGTCACTTGTTCTTACAATAATTCAACCAACTCAGCCCTGTGCTCACGTTGCTTCACTTCTATCAAAAGAAATTTTTGTGGTGAAGTTATCATCTGATTCTTTGAGGTTTGGTACAGTAAGGCCTACAGAAGTCAGACAGTTTAAACTTTAGCTTGACCTTGAGGACTTTGGCTGTTTCGACTATGTCCGTGTACCTAGGGCTGGAGGAGTAAGAGATCTAAGATCAAAGGTGGAATTTTTTCCCAAATATTTGTACTTTCTCTTGCTCCACTAACTCTAGGTCAACTGAACAAGGTTGTAATGTTTTGTCATCAGTCTTAATAGTATGCATATTACTCCATAATGACATACATAAAACACAAACCATTTTAGGGACATATTCCTAAGAATTGACATATTATTTCCATATTTGAAAGACTTTCTTGAGAACTTCTAATAGCTCAGGATAAGTAAGATAAAATTATACTTACTGCAAAAAATGTGCTTCTGTCAGTCTGAATGTGCTCTGTGGAATTAAAAGTTCTAAGTAATCCATTGCTAATAATATCGATGAGGACAGGAAAGCAATTTAGTCTCTTAGTATTACAGGCTATTGAAAATCTGTGATCCTAAAATAAAACAGATATTTTTAAGTTTGCAAAAAGCAAAGAGAAATTTAATGAACGAATACGATCGACAAACATTCAGGTTACTGATAAGTAGTGAGGGCAAAGCACAAATGTGATTAATATCACCAGGGCTCATGTTATTTGACTAATTTCCAGTATACTTAAAAGAATCCAGAAACTAATAAAGTATTCTCTAAATAATGAAAAAAAAGAATAAGATAAGACTATAAGAGTGAGAAGCAATTTAAATATGTTCGGGGACCATTTTCATCTCCAGAATTAAGGATTATTTTAATGTTACATCATTGCCTTTTCTCTTTTACTTTCCTTTTTAGTTTTATTTTAGGATTCCCTATTTTTAATGTTCATACAGAGATTTCTTTAACTGAAATACCAAATAGTTTCTTTGGTGTGAAAAACTATAATAGTGCACAGGATCCTAATGAGATAATTAATAATGTGAAATAGGAAGTAAAGGGCTAAAGGTGTGGGGAAAGTGGGAAGGGTGGGGGAAAGGTAACAAGGGAGAGGAAAAAAATATGAGAAACTGAAAAAATGGAAACAAAGTGTTTGTAAATGGGGAGGGGAGGAGTGGGTGAGGGGAGGGGAGGGACAAGGGGAAAAAATGAGAATCAAGACCTATTATGTAAAGGTACAGGATCCCAGTGATGAATGTAACTGTATTTGTATACCTAGATTGTACCAATAAACTCAATAAAAAGAAAAAAAATAATCCAGGGACTTTGGATACCATAATAGCAGCCATGTGGCTATTCCTGCCTCAAAGCTCACTACATAACATGCTCCGATGGATTTTAGCAGCTTGTTTCCAAATGTGGTGCATTTATTTTATAAGTAAAGAATGTGTGGATACTTGGGAAGCCGGAGGCAGTTAGGCAGTTGTAAAGCAGGCATATGTTTTCACAAATAGTAAGCTTATATGTAAAAGCTGTTTTAAAAGGACAATATAATCTTTATAGATACATATGTAAGTAGATACATAAGTATATATATGATGTGCTTATTTATCCCTCAGAGAAAAAAATAAGTAAATTATCTACATTGCAGAGAACATGGGCAAGCACCAATAATGCCTTTTTGCAAAAAATAAATCAAATACATTGCATCCAACCCATTTACCCAAAGCAAAGCTGTTAGAAAATTACTTTTCTGGGCATATTGGAAACTAACTCAACTGGGACCTAAAAGAGGACTAGTTTGAGCGAAGGTGATTTCTTAGGTTATTTTTGGCATGGAAATGTTTTTCTAAAAATTAACTTGGATGAGTGACAAATGATCAAAGGATACCTTATCCATTTCAGTGAATTGTCTCATCTTTTCTATTAGTCTACTTTTGTGCTCTCAAATTGCTACAGAATCTAGACAATGACACATTGAAGTGAAGCAATACAGAAATACGGCAAACTGCAGTGTAGGTCAAGGTTAAATCGGGCAGTTGTTTCATTCCAACTGAGAGTAAGATTTAAATGAATTACTGGAATGGAATCCTATAAGTAAATAAATTAGTAACCGCCATACACAGTTATTCTGTACTATTACTCTGGAGGCAGCAGGCAAATTATTGCAGCCCAGCTTTTCCTCTCTTTGTATCAAACCGGCCTTTTATGTCAGTTGACTTGAATAGTTCAAATTGTGCATCGACGGTCCCTCTTTGGTGAACTGCAGCAGAGCCCCACACACCTCCGCATCGCCTGACACTGTGATGGCTCCATTGTAAGACGGCTCCTCTGTGCCATTTCTAGTTCCAAGGGCGTCCACTTCCAATGCTATGTTCTGTTGCCCCAGTGCTTGTACAAAGTCGTCGATGCTGGAGCCTGCCATGAGGGTCAAGATCAAAAAAAAGCAAAACAACAAAACAGCAAACGCTGTTAGAAGAAAAGAAACAACAGAAAGCTAAATGGCATCACTCACAGCAGACCATCATAACTGTCTATGGATTGACTTAAAAGGTAGAATTGGGGCTATGAAAGGAACTAGGGCTACGCTACCATTCTGTTACCATGGACACGACAAGCTTCCTTTACCCAGGACACCTGGCATTTACTTATGATTTCTGTTAGTGTAAAAGTTCTCAGCAATGGCCTAGGGACGTAGCTCAGCAGTAGAGCACTTGTCTAGCATGTACAAGGGCTCTGGGTTTGATCACCAATAAGCCAAATAATAAGAATCATAAGTGATTAACGTTGTAATCCTTGACATGAGGAATCTTCTATCTTCTTATTTCAGAACAAAAATTTTTCCAGGCTCAGCAATTCAGAGATTTACAAAATGACAGAAAGACCTCAAGAGTGAATCAATGATTTATATGTTTAAATTTCCTTTGGTTGCTTTGTGCGGGAACCTAGGTTTGAGTACACTTAAAATGTGTTTCTAAAACAGGCTCTCTCTAATATTGTACTTTTTATTTTTTCAATGAACTTTCCATTTGGCCTCAATCAGCTTTTTCTAAAACCTTCCAGAAGTTTTTCTTTATGTGTTATAGCGATCTCTCAGAAACAATATTTACAAGGTGCATCTTAGTCCCAGGTTCACCTGTTTTATTGATGACCAGTAAATGTGTCAGAGGATCCTGTGGAGGTTGTCCTGGTGAGAGGAAGTACATGTCTGGAGATAGATCCCAAGTGTAACTTTTTTGATATAACTCATAGAATAAATGCTCCAGGAGTTGAGGGAAAAAGCTAATCCCCAAAAGCAATAACCTATGTGGAAAAAAATATAAAAGAAAAACTAATCTATAGTAACTTCTTTAGGTTACTAGTTTTGAGCAAATAATAGGTATCATAATAGAAATATATTGTAAGTACTACATAAAAATTTGAATCATGCGTCTTCCTTTTTCCTCTTTGTAAAACTAGAGGGTCCTTATGTATACGCCTTTTGTCTTCTCTTATGTCTAGTCCTTTACTCCCGCCTTAAGCATTTCATTCGGTCCTATGAAGTCCGCTTATTATGATTTTAGTCTCTCTCCAATGCCCATTTCTTAGCTCTGTTTCAGTCGGCACTCCTTCCTCTATCTGAACCACTGCAACCTGGCATATCACCAACACTCTGAACCTTTTTCTCACCTTGTTTCCAATTTGTGCAAATTACATTATATTTTTTTGTTCATTTGGGATTCAATGTGCAATTAGTAATCACTCATTTTTATCCCTGATATAGCTAAAAATTCCTGTCTATAATATATGTATATTGCTTGCCTCCAAAACATTCTTTTCACTTCTACTTCTCAAGTTGGGCCTTATTGTCTCTTTTTCTAACATCACTATTATCTTAAATAATTATTTTCATTTTACCCAATGCCTACTATTTCCAAACAATTTTGCAACTTTGTTGATTAATCTTCTTGTATTTTATTCCAATAAAATAAAAATAATGTCTTAACAGGTTCTTAAAATCCAAACTTTATCTCTATATAACATATTCTTAAAATAATGTTTATTCTGTTTCAATGAACTGGGATTAGTAACGGTTCTATAGATTCCTCATGTTTTCCCACACTCAGCACCCCTGTCTGAAATTCTTTCTCTCTTTAGTTCAGTGACTTCCACTCTCCAGCACCAAACTCAAACTCTCCCTGAGCTCTTTCTTCTGTATTTGAAATAATCTCTTTACTATGAGATGCCATAGTTCATAGGATTGTCGATTTTGTATTATACTTATTGAGTATATATCTAATCGCCCTTCTGGGAACTCTGTTGATGTAGTTTGGAAGTGGAATATCATCCAAAGGTCCATACGGTAAGGGATTGGTACCCAGAGAGGCATCATTGGGAAGTAGTGCACTGGAGGTCGAGTGAATATGCTGTATCCTTAGGCCACTGGGGTGTGACCTTGGAGGAGATTGTGGGACCTTTGCTTCCTGGCTCATGACGTACATGATGTGCTCCACTCTGCTTTTTCAAAGTGATGTGGCACCCTCACCAGAAGCCTAATTATGGGCCCACTTCATCTTGAACTAGAACCTCCAGAACTGTGAACAAAAACGGATCTTTTCTCTTTAGGAGTTCATTGTCTCAGGGTTATTTCATTATAGTGATGAAAGGCCAACTAATATGACTTTTGTGGCTGATTTATTTTAATATATGTACAAACGCTTGACCACAGAGTGGTGTATAGATGTGCTCATGAATATATTGGATGAGTGAGTATCTTCAGTGTAGAGCAAGACTTAGGGACAAAGGTAGCATTTAGCGATGCGGCTGAAACTATAGGCACTTGTATGAACCTTGCAGAGGGCTCCAGATGTAGTTGTGATGCTAAAACTGAAATTCATGGTCTCAAAACTGCAAAGTTGAAATTCTATCTGAGTAGCCCTGAAAACCGCAACATGAAGTCGAACCTGAGTTTCCAGCCTGCTGGTAGAGCAGTGTGAGCAAATTTCTTAAAATAAGTAATATACTCATCTATCTCTATTTCTGTCTCTCCTATTGGTTGCAATTCTCTGGAAAATGCTGAGAAATACATATTTGGGAATCTTGAAGACAGAAGGAAAGGAGTCTTTGGGATGGGAGGTGCTTGTTGAGAATTACTCTAGCTCATTTGAAAGAACAAAACTTGTGTGAAATTAAAAGAATTTCAATGTTTATAGGTTTAATTACATACACTATAAACAATTCAGAGTTATTGTTTAAAAGACCATATGCAGTTACTGGAATTTATTTTGTCTGAATGTTCTTTTTCATGATTTATCCTCTTATATTTTTTTTGCGTGCACAGAATACTCAGATACTCACATGGCTAACAGGCTTTTTCTTTCATTCTTTAGCTTCAGGAAGCGAACTTTTGCTATTGCACAGAGCTGCTGCCTCCAGAGCGCCATGCCACCTGCTATTTTCCTTGTTACATGGAGGGAAGACAAAACTTGTTCCAGCTCAACAAGGCTTGCCATGTCTTTTGTCCCATCACTTTGTAATTGTCCCCAAATTGCAACATCTAAAACATAAAATCTGTCATTTTTGAGATGCCATTTTAGTCATGCTTCTTAACTTTTCCTATGATCATCTTTTCAACCAAAGTTTCTGGAGATAGTGCCTTGGGCAAAAATACAAGTAATCTAATTCATGACATTATCAGAGCAATTATTAAGAAAGTTGGAGAGGAGCAAAAAAAAAATCGATAAAATAAAAGGAGTTCTTGGGGCTAGGGATGTAGTTCAGTGGTTGGGTGCTCGCCTAGCATGGCCAAGACCCTGGATATCAACTCCAGCACCACGCACACAAAAAGGTAAGTATAACCACTAAAAATGTACCAAGCATATGGCATCCAAAAGGGAATAGAGAGGGAAGGCGGGATTATAAACACACTTGAAATACACTTGATCAATTCTGTAAAAATGAGAAATGACAAAGTTAACAATGAAGAGCATAGAAAGAGTAAATACAATGACAGTAAACCAAAACCAAGGAAATGCCTTAGCAGCAATCAGACAACAAAAGCGATGCTTTCTAGGGAATGACAATCAAACTGACGATACATCTTTCAATAGCAACAACTGAACCCTGAAAACGCTGGAATAACTTCAAAATACTACAAGAAAAGTAATGCTCAATATAAATTCTAATTTTCTTTTCTCTATATCACTAATATTCAGGTAATAGGTATTTCATATGTATTTTCTGCTTCATGATGACACAGTGTTATATAATGCTGTATTCCACAGAGATATCTCTTTTCTGGTTTGAGTTTTCCCAACACCAGCACCGACAAAGGTATATAATTGCACTACTCAAAGTAGATTTTTCAAGATAAAAATTTGCACATAAAAATAAAATTAAACTTTTTTGCCTCTCTCCCTCCTCCTTCACTTCATCTCACCCTTCACTTCCTCCTTTTTCTCCCTTCCTGCTTTCCTTCTTTCCTTTCTTCCTTATTTCTTTTTTACCTGATTCATCAATAGTTGATTTTCCTTCTAACTTCAGGAACACCTCATTCAAAGTTGTCATGGAAACACCATAATTCTCAATGCCTTTGTTAGGACATCTATCAAGATCCCTGTAAAGGTCTAAAAGCAAGAACACAGATCAAAAGAACATAATTTATAATAACATTGAGAATAATTATATTTCTCAAAAAAAACAATTAGTCATAAGCTAAATGCATTTTTCATCAGAAACAAAACTGATGCAGATATTCCCTTATTTCTAAATATATCTATAGTGTTAGTTTCCATGTGCTTTTAAATATAAAAGCCAAATCTAAAAATTCATTTTCCATTCTTAGAAAGCTACACTTAAAAAATATATTTTATTTAACATATTTTTAAATTTTTAATTTTGTTAGATTATAGGGAGTGTTTAATTTTAAGCTACAACTAATTAAAGAATATTTTTCAGAGAATAGAAATTCATACTTTCATGTTAAGCTTGCCAGGAAAATGTAACAGAAACAAATGCAAAAGATACAACGATTACAGAAGTAATGGCCACTAATCTTCCCCAGTTAAAAAACCCTACTTTAAAAAACTCACCTAGTTTAAAAAATATAAATTTAAAGAAAGGACAAAATAAATACTATGTAAGCTTTTAATTATGTGTTGGATAAAGAAAACAGAAGAAGCATTTCATGATTTCCAGTGAATTCTTAAATCCACCTAGGTATTGCTCCCTTTTCCGTCTTTAGCTAAACTGCTCATTTGGAATGCATTTAATAAAAAAATCAAGTAAAACTGTGCCATGTGGTCTTTATAAAGATCTCTCTTCTTACAATGATACGTATATCAAAGACATGCATGCCTCTAAAATAATCATTATTTCATGATTTTCAAAGGAGCACATTTGATCACTTTTCCACACAACCAAAATGAGAATGGATCACAAATTATTATAAATGGTAATATTACTGTTTTCTGTTTCTTTCTTTTTTTTGGTACCGGGGATCGAACTTGGGACCTTATGCTTATGAGGCAGGCAGTGGAACCACTGGGCTAAATCCCTGGCCCCTTTCTGTTTCTTTCTTAAAGGTGAATCTCAGTTAAGGGTACCAGGCCATGCGAAACAGGCATCATATGTCAGGCACTATTCTAGGTGCTTTATTTATATTCAATATTTTAACAATACATTTAAATGTATTAAATCATTCAACCCTCATAACAGCTTGATAAAGATTACTACTGCCATACTCATTTTACAAGTGAGGAAACTGAGTACAAAAACAATGCATCCTGTTTGGGATTGTATGGCTACTAACGGCACAGCTAGGATTTGCATCTAGGTCTTCTGGCCCTGGCCCTTGTGCTTTCAACCCCTGCGCTCTATGGCCCGGTGGGTGCTGTTTCTGTACGGACCACGACTATGGCTTATTTGATCAAGAATGCCACAGCAGCTCCCAAGATCTTCCATTAAGAGTTGGCAATTGAGTTGGAATTCAGTTGTGTAAATATGTTTTTTTAAACTGTCTTTTTTTTTTTTTTTTTTTTTT